AGAAGCTATAACCCTAACCTGAAGAGCGTTCAGCCTAGTTAGGAGAGTTGCACGCGCGTGCACACCCCCACACACACACTCTGTCTCACATGTGTGGCTAATGACAACTGTCACAGGTACTATTTAAAAATTAATTGTAAACACTATTTTAAAAAATCAGTATCACTAACCATAAAGCCACTAGGAAGAACTCAGTAGTTTTCTACCTTACAAAAACTGTACCACCCTGCTCACGGCTTCTGGCCACGCAGACCTCAGCTGCTCGGGAGGCGCTGACCCCCTGAGTGAGGAGGCTGTGAGCAGGACAGACCGGTTCCCTCCTCGGTGTGCATCTCACCGCAGGGGAGCAGGGCAGCATGGGAGCATACGCGCTGGTGAGGAGAGCCAGAGGGAAGGGGGTGGCAGGAGGGCCCCATTTCACACAGGTGGTCAACTCATATCTTACTGTCAAATCAGAAGAACTGGCGGGGGTGGGGGTGGTGAGCGTTAAACGGATAAACCAGGGCACACATTTCCCCACCTTGCCAAGAAGGGCATATCTAAGCAAAAACGCCACGTCCTGCTAAAGCCCTAGAGCCATGTTTGGAGAAAACCCTAGGAAGAATGAGTGGCCCCTTCCCCAAAGACAACGAGGATGAGTGAAGGGTCTGAATCCCCACAGGACTGGCCCTGTGGGTGAGGGAACCAGCGCTCACAGGTCTCAAACAGGAGTGAAGAGGATTCACGGCGATAATCCGGTCACAACATCAGAATCCTGGACACGAACGCACCCCTACTCCTCACCGTCCCCTCTCTCCCTGCCCCCCCCTGCGGCAGCAGAAACCTGTTACTGTCATGTTCTTGGTTTACCATAAACACACGTACCAGACACACCTGCTCCCTGCAGGGGACACAAACAATTGCACCAACATTTACACAGTGAAGTCCCTAGGATGTGAGGAAAGGGACCAGCACCAGGGAGACACTCAGGGAATCGGAGCCGGGTGGCTGGGGCTTCACAGAGGGAACTGTGAGCGGAGAGGTGTCCCAGGAGGGGGACACGCCTCCACACCTGAGGAGCTCAAGGAACTGGCGGATGGCGCCCGAGGCAGGAAGACAGTGACGAGCAGAGGCAGACGAGCTGTGCCTCCCGTGGGGTCGGCTAAGGGGAGGACGGCGCCTGGGCACAGGGCGACAAGGCCCGAGGCCCGGCCGCGGAGCCCCGGTCTCCAGTGGTGGGCAGAGAATTAGCAAGAAGAGCCCTCAGAGAAACAGAGTGCAGGGCATGGCTTCCCTCCCCACCCCTCCAGTGGCCTTGCGCAACTCAAACTACTATCAGTAGAGAAGCCCAGGTCCTCCAGAACACGCCCACATCATTCTCCCTGCCTCTCTGCATGCGAATCCCTACAGCACAGAGGACCCTCCCCACCCTCTCGGCCGGAACTGAAGATGCCCCAGACTCTACCAATTCAGCTTTCGTTCTCACTCAGCAAACAACTGCTGAGTGCTGTTAATATGTCCCACCACGGAGCATCAAAAAATAATGAGACCCGAGTCTGGTTGCAAGAACCAGGTAACAGGAGACGAGCAACTAGGCAGAGCTGTGTGAGTCACCAGCTACGCCGGCGAGGGCAGGCGAGCCCTGGGGCCCGAGAGAGACAGAGGGCCACACGCGGAGCGAGGCCTGAGGCTTCACGGGCGAAGAAGGAAAGTTCCAGCAGGAGCAGCGACAGCGCAAGGGGCCAGCAAGGAAGGCCAGCCCAGCAGGGTCCTCTCAGAAAGCCAAGTGCGCACAGGGCAGAGAGGCTGGGGCCTGCAGGAGCTGGGGAGGGGGGAGAGGGCGGGGGAGAGGCAGGCAGGGCCTCACGCGGGCGCAGGGTGGCCGGGACCCACTCAGGGCAGTGTGCACTGGGGGCCACCACACAGAGGCCCTGCTCCCTGAGCTGGGTGCTCAGAAACTCAGGTGTCCTCTGGAAAGCACCTGATTTCTTTGACTGTAAACATGCAGGCATCTAGATAGTTACACTGAACTATAAAATGGTTTATACACTTATATAAAAATATACTTTTAACCTGTCTCCCCACTAGTCAATTAGCTCCTCAAGCTGTCAGACCACGTGGCTGTGGTCTCACAGGCATGGCAGAGGAGCTGGAGGTAATTCCCAGCGCAGCCATCAGACCCTGGGAGCCGACCCAGACCCACCTGTTGCGAGAACTAGAATGCAGCACGTGTGCTGCTACAAGAGGAAACACAGAGACCAGTTCACTGCTTTCGTTGAGCAACTTTTAAGGCAAGTGGATTAGCTAACTCTACATAGAATTTGCTCATTCATTTGGTAATATTTATTTATGCCAATTACTTGTCAAGCAGAAAGAAACTCGACACAACCCCTGACTTTGTTAAGTTTACCATCCAGCAAAGAAGAGATCAAACAAGTGTAATACACTATGATCAATAACAGTAAACACAAGACAGAAGCAAAGACTCAGGAGGGAACATCAGAAAGAAGCTGGTTTAACCAAGCAGAGACCTACGGGTAGGCTGGAGCTGGCTGGGCAGAGGAGGGAAGAGAAGAGGCAACGGCAGGTGCAGGAGACCTCCGGCCGTGCTGGGCGCTGAACAGCCAACAGGGACGAGAGGCCCACGGCCCAGGGCTGGAGAGGGCGGAGCCAGGCGAGGCAGCCTGCAGGCCAGGTGAAGGGGCTGCAGCCTCGCCTCATTCTGGAGAGAAGTCACAGCAGTTCTAACACCACCACCAGATTTATGTTTCTACAAAATCCTTCCGCAGGTATGTGAAGGATGAACATGTGAGGACACAGGAAGACAAACAGGAAGCAACTCCCACGGCCCAGAGCGGGAGAAGGTGAGGAACCGTCAGAATAAAAAGATGGATCCCTTATACGTGGAGGAAAGCATCAGAGAGGCACCCTGGGTCTGTGGCATGATCAACTGAGTGGACGGAGCTTTGACACGTTTACTAGACAGAGGATTTGGGGAAGAACGGATTTCAGCAGCAACAAATAAGAAGCTCCTCTCTGGCTGGTATCAGACGCTTGTGAAAAGTATACATGTAGATATCAAGAGACAGCTGACCCCTGGACTCTGAGACACAGAAGTGAAGAGGGGCTGTACCCAGAGATGGACGGATGGATGGATGTTTAAAATGCTGATCCAGAAAAAACATGATTTTAACCAGAGGATCCAGAATCACACAAAGGAACTATTAATAGTATATTCAATTTCAATCTACCACTGAAAGACAGAGCGGGGGAAAAAAAAATCAACAGCACATTTGTTCCTGACAACCAAATCTGACACCTCTCAATCCTTCCCAGTCTTTCAAAAAGACAAAACAAACAATGCACACATTGACATAACGCAAGAACTTTCCAAGGAGGACTTTCTGCACTTAGTAGCCTTGCAGCCAATTACACAGCACTGTAAACATTTACACTTACTTCAATAGTCTGAATTTAAACTGTCTTCAAGCCTAGGAGATTATGACACAGTTGAACACAATTTATAGCAACATCTTCTTAAATATGTTAAAACATGTTAAAATACACTCTTCCTCGGGTGCAACCTAAGGCGGGTTCTTTAACATTAAATTCATCAGTACAATAATGTTATTATAGAAAAGTCTCCAGACTGTTTTAAGGATAAAGGTTTCAGTTCAAATACACAAATATGGGCTTATTACTTTTAGGCTGTCCTAGTAAGGATTTTACACATCTCCTTACATAGGGCCACGGCTGTTCTATGAAGTTAATGTGACTGATCAGAGCCAGTGTGAGCTTTAGGACGTCCAAAGGCAGACCAAGCTTTGGATATAGTCTCTGGGTTTGAGGTGTGTCTCTATCTAAAAGTAGTGATTTTACACTTGAAAATAACCAATTCAGCCAATTCCTGGATAGGAACATTGCTGTCAGTATCACACAGCAAAAATTAATCGGGACGAACACCTCGGGGTGAGAGACTAAGCAGAGAAGGCAGCGGGGCCTGACCTGAGACCGTGCCCCACCCCCGCGATTAGAACCTGCTCTGCAGTGATCCACCTGAGAAGACGCCTGCTCCAGCCCTACAGGCAGACGGACCTGACCTCAACACCCTCTCTAGCTTTTCCCTCCTGTATACAGGTGAGCTCTTTTCTCAGGCCCACAGCCCACCTCTATCAGAATGATATTCCAATAAAAATGCCTCTATTTACTCTGCAGTCAGCAAATAAAATGGAAAAATAACTGGCTGCAATCGACTGCTTTGGGATGAGCAAAAACACTATAATCTCTTCCAAAGTTCATACTTCTAGTAAGATATTTAGATTTTTTTTCAATAATAAAATATTCACTACTAAAGTAAAGCAGCCTACCCATTTTGGTCTTATTCATATGTGAATTATATGCATTCTTAACTTCTAAAGGTGTTCCTCAAACATGTGTTACAATGAAATGCTACAGTTTATGTTTTTATTTTTATATAACTGAAGCCTCTAACCACATTACAGGGGAAAGCAATTTATTCACAGCCCTGCAGACCCTTAAGAGACAAGCCCACCTTGCAATAACAAGGAGTTTCCAAATAAATATACAATCTTTACAGTGAGTAAAGGAAACCAATTTTTGAAATATGAAAATCTATGTTATTCCTTTTCCTATAGTCCTGTTTAAACTAGAAATTAGTCTCTTTATCCTTTAAAAACTTCCACATGGCAGAATGAATAAGGACATCTTGATTAAAACTCAAAATAAAACATGAAACTTTAAGAGACAAAGGACAGGCTATAGAAAAAAATATTTTACTCACTTAAATGCATTTTCATAAAAACAATTTCATTTACTATTTGAAATGCTCTCTAAATGGTTTTATGCAATAGTTGCAAACCCATACCAAATTTCTATCTTTCCTTAAATTTAACTGTAAATCTATTTGAAATAAGTCCTGACAAACTCTTATCCACCTTTTTAGTGCAAAAGCATGAATCTAAATACAACTTAAACTGAACAGATTTTTAAGTTATTTATACCTTTAGCCCAACACACTGGAAATGGACTACAGCCGCTCTTCTCCATACAGACAGCACCTGTGGGTTCCAGGGCCCCTTGGCCCGCCACTTCCAACAACATAAACTCAGTCCTAGAAAGACCACGCCAGGAGTCCGAGCACCAAGTCCCCAGTCATCACTCCCACTGGACTTGCTTCGATCCACATTCAAGACTAAGCTTCCCCTCTGTGCTCCTTTTTTCAGAGCTTGAAGCAAAATTTGGGAGGTGTTCCTTCTGTAATATTTTCCAGCAGCTTGAAGAATGCCTCTCAGTTACAGAATCTTCTCAAGCTTCCGCAATCTGAAACACAGACCGTCCTGGCCGGATTAAGCTCCTGAACAGAAAGAAACCAGCAAGTGACGTGACCCCAAGGATCTGTGTTCCTAGATTCATTCAGGGAAGGAGGGCGAGAGGGCGGGGAGGAGGGGACAGAGGGAGGAGGGACAGAGGGAGGAGCCCCAGGAAGCCAGGAGCCTGCGCCTTATTAATATGCTAATCGCACCCTTCTGTTCAATTCATCTGGCTGACTTCTGTTTACAGAACTGACAGGCGACTCTAAAACTGGGTAAGCTGCAAATCAAGTCTGACCCAGATCAGGTCTGTAGGTGCCTGTGCAAACCATTTTTGTTTTCAAAGTCGTGCTTCTGGCATTTTACCAGCCTAATTCTGACCTTACAGTTAAAAATAATTACCTTAAAGAAATAAGAATAATTTTGAAAATAAAATGCTGATCAATACTAAAAACAAGTCTGTAAAAACTATGTCCATAGGAACCCAAATATATTTGAGGTTAAGGTATTTCTTCAGATGGATACTTGAAAAGTAAGTTTGTAAATTTATAAAAACTATCTAGAAAACACATAAAAACAAGAATGTGAGGTTGCCAGGTACTTTCAAAATTAGTGTAATGGAATACTGAGAGATCCAAGATGCATTTCTTTTTTTAGCTTTAAAATATAATAATAAACTCATACTGAACAAGCAGGAGAGAAAAACACCCTAATAATCTGTAAGAGCAACTTTCTTTAAAAATGCGAAGCTACTTACTTTCTTCATTCAAACTGAGAGATAATCAAGGTCATCTAAAAAATTCAGCTATTTGAACACATTCCACACTTGGGATCTGAGCAGTGAGATAATATTATCTTAGCAGAAAGATAATAAGTATCTAGGCTCCTAGAGCCTTGCCTGAGCACAGTGGAGCCCTCCTAATGTATGGGTACTTTTGTTAGGAGAAAATCCCACCCTCTAAAGACAAGACAAGTACTCTGCTTGACAGTGAACAGGCCCTCTGACCCCACTACGTTCTTGGGGAGGGGCGGGACTGAACGCAGGCTGTGTCCAGGGGCGCCTCAGGGCCGGGCGCCCCGCCGCAGCAGCTGCCCACCTGCAGGCCTTACCTTCGGGCTCCTAGTGCAGGCCTAACTCGAGTGACTGCCCCACGCCACAGTGAAACCATCATTCACCACAGAAAACTCTAGGTCAGGCAGCAGTGGGAAGAAAGGGGGCTCCAGAAACACAGGCAAGCTAGCCAGAAAGAGAGCAGAAGAAAGAGGCGGGCAGACCCAGTGGAACTCCTGAAAACCAGCCCAGCCTGCCCCACTACTGAGGCAAGCCAAGGACAGAAAGGCCCGCTGCCACCACGGATGCATCAAGGCACATCCCAGGTATCTGGGCGTCCGGTTCAGCCCCCAAGCAGGGCTCAGGGCTTATTCTGAACCATCAACCAACAGACTACAAATGGCCCGAGCAAACTGGGAGTCTCTCTTGGAACCTAAGATTCTCAAAAATGTAGAACACAACTCAAAGCTACCTTTCCTTGTCACCAACCATATTCCACACAGCAGATAACTGATTACATCTAATTCTCACATCGAGGCAAAAACAGTACCACCACCGCTTTGAAAGATGAGCAAAGACAGGACCTTTCAACCAGACAGAGGCATGGTCAACTAAGCCCACCCGCCATCCAGGAACAGGGTCTCCACCCACAGCCCAGAAGGCGCGGCAGCAGCTGTCCAGAGTGAGCAACGGGTGGGGCCGGAGCGCACGCGGGGCAGTGGAGGCGGACACGGCGCCCAGGGAGAGCGGGCGTGAGGGGGGAAGCTTAGGGTTCAGATGAGGTAACCAGAGGGAGGCAGCTTTCTCTCCCTCCAACCAAGCTAACTGATACTTTATTTCAGTATCCGAATGTCACCTTCTGGTGTGCAAGGTCAAAAAGTTGTAAAGATACAGAGAAGCAAAACTTCTCCAGGACAGGAGGACCAGAGGCAGCTACAAGGAAGTTCAGCACCTCTGGTGGCAGCGGGTCAGTCGATAAGTCGTGTCCCACTCTGCGACCCCATGGACTTGTAGCCCGCCAGGCTCCTCTGTCCATGGGATTCTCTAGGCAAGAATACTGGAGTGGGTTGCCATTTCTTCCTCCAGGGGATTTTCCAAAGCCACAAACTGAACCAGGGTCTCCTGTCTTGCAGGCAGATTCTTTACCAACTGAATTACAAGGGAAGCCCTCTGCACCGCTGCGGCTGCTGAAAAGAAAAAGCCACCGGTGTGAGGGCAGAGAAGGATGCAGATGCTCTGGGAACAGCAGGACAGCACCTAGGAGTCAGCCCTGTGCCAGCTGCTTCAATCCTGAACACACCCCAGCAGAGCACTTCTTCCCCCGTGTCTACAGAAGAGGATCCTGAGGTTCCAGGTGGACCTGCCTCAGGCCGAAGAGCTGAAAAAGGATGAGTCCTAGCCAGGTTGGTTATACCTCTACTCCTGTTTTCTTTTTGCTAAACATTAAAACAACTCCTGCTTTTAAACTCCCAATCCAGTGACATCTCGAAAAGAACAGGAAAGGCCTACAGTTCATGGCAACAGAAGTGAAAAAAGCAAGCAATCCCTTTAAGCTCTGATTTATGAAATTGTACATGTTAATACAGAAAGTTCTTTGATATTTGAAACAACTTTTTTGTAGTATCTGTCTAGCTAAGAACAACTAGTTAAGTGGTAAGTTCACTTCACAAGTAAACTCTTAATTAAAATTTACAAGAAAGATTACTATTTGCCCAGGTCCCAAGCCTTAGTCACCCCGACTCCTCTCTCGGTCTCTGAGGATCAAACCAATCCATCAGCAAAACCATTATCTTTGCCTTCAAACTATACCTGAGAGGGCCGTGACCTCTCCCTGCCCACTGCCCTATGTCTACTGCCGTCCTGCACACGGGTCAAAGCCACATGCCAACCCCGCTCCCTCATCTCCGATCCAGCTGCCCCATACTCCACTCTCAACCCAGCAGCTGCAACTGACCCTTCCTTCCAAAACAATCAACCACACCATCTCACTCCTTTGCTAAAACTCACCAAAAGTTCTCCAGCTCCCCAAGCAGGTGACCTACACACACTGAGCATAGTCTGTAAGGCCCTGAAGGCTCTCCTCCCATCCACATGAGGGTCCTCAGAAAGCCCACCCCCGGGGTCTTCTCAGCTCCAACCACACTGACCTCCACTCTGCCTTGTGCCCACACCAGGCGTGCATGACCTCAGGGCCTTTACATGGCCTGTCCCTCTAGGTGGGACACTCCTGTCTCAGATAACCACAAGGCTCAAATGTTACTCACTCCACTCACCTTGTCTAACAGTGCAGAGCCATACCCTAATCCCAGTTCCACCTGCCCCAAAGCACAGGCACCTCCTACAACCCCCGTGACTTATCCCTGCCCTTACCCCCTGCCCCGCTGCCCCACCACAACACGCTCTCCACAGCGGGAAGGACACCTCTGGGTCTGTGCACTGTCCCCAGGGCCTCACCAATACGGTCACTACGGTGTACAGGCCACACTCCACACCACCCTCTCGCCCCATAGGAAGGAGGAGATGGCAGAGCGGCAGTCTAGGGCCTAGGGGTCAGAGCCCGACACTAAGCTCCGTGACAGCATGGCCAGCCTTGGTCTTGGCCACTGCGTCACCCCCAAGATGCAGCAAAGGGGTTTGAAAAATATCTACAGAATGAACACGTGCATCATACGTGTTGCAAACCTTGCTCTTCTCCCCAATGAGAATGGAAAAAGAAAAACTGATATGAATTCTAGGAAAACCATATGGAAATACCCTTCCCCATCTGACATAAAAAATAAACCACACAACTGAAGTATTCTGATACTCTGAACAGAACTTCCACTGCAGATGTTAATATAGCCAAATGATACTAGTGTGATAAGATAAAACCACTGGAGGGCTAGCAAAGAATGCTATGAACAAAGTTAGTGAGCAGAAGAACCCTTCACATACTGTGTAGGTCTGCCCACTCTGGCTTTCCTACAGAAACCTGAAATAAGAAAGTCACCAGGGGGGACTTCCCTGATGGCCCAGTGGTTAAGACTCTGCTCTTTTGATGCTGGGGGGAGTTGGGGGGTGGGCAGCGTTGTTGTCTGATCCTGGTCAGGGAACCAAGATTCCACATGTCCCAGGGTACAGCCAAAAAAACATTTTTTTAAAAAAATTTTAAGAAATAAACAATCTTTAAAATAAGAAAGAAAAGAAAATCACTGGGAAAGAACTATCAAGAAACAAACTGCTTACAAATGTCACAACAGCAGCTCACAAAGATTCAACCCTGATGTTCAAGTTCTCATACACTTCTCACGGTTTCCATAGTTTGCCTTAAGTTAGACCAAAACTCCTCGGCAGTACTTCTTAGAAGAGTAAAGCACTGGTAAATGGTTTTATGTCAACCAACAAGAGGAATTTGTAAAAACATATAATGTAATTCACATTATATACACAATTCAAAACTTATCTTCTCTTGCCTTTCTTTATGCCTCATTAATCAAAAGTTACATATTTAAATAAAATCAACACTTTTACAACATGGTACCTCCCTTAGCAACTGACAGGTACAATATACCCAACTTCTGTCAGGTGGGTGCCTGTTCTAAGCTTACTTCCATTCAGACTCAGAGAATTATCTGTTCAATATCACTGTGACTCACTGTCTCCATCACAAACACAGAAAAAAAATTTTCTGGAAGTTTTAGTATCAATAAAAATTATG